GAAGGAGATGACGGCCGAGATGACCCACACGGTGACGATGATGGCCTTGATGCGGCGCGGCGTGCGCTTCAGGTTATACTCGATGGCTTGCGTGATGGACCAGTAGCGATCCAGGCTGATGGCGCACAGGTGCACGATGGACGAGGTGCAGAAGAGCACGTCGAGCGCCAGGTAGATCTCACACCACGCCTTGCCGAAATACCAGTAGCCCATGACCTCGTTGGCCAGCGAGAAAGGGATGACTAGCGTGGCCACCAGGATGTCGGCCGAGGCCAGAGACACCAGAAAGAGGTTCTGGGGCGCCTTAAGTGCGCGGCTCGTGAACACCGCGATGATGACCAGCACGTTGCCGAACACCGTGAGCAGCATGAGCAGGCCGGCCAGGCACACCAGAGTCAGCGTCACCTGCAGGGAGTAAGGGGTGGCCCGGGCGCCGCCCCCCGGCGTCTCGGTCCCATTCCAGCTCGCGTTGCCCGCGTCCAGCTGCAGGGAGCCCATGGGCGCGAAGCTGCCCTCGGCCAGCGGCTGCTCCTGGCGGAACATGAACGCGGATGCCCGCTTGCCTGGGCCTGCTGCCAGTTGCCTTCCGGCCCAGCGCCCGTGGGTCCTCCTCTTCCTCCCTCGCCCCGCTCGCCCTTACGCGCCTCACATGGGGAGGGGACCGCAGGGACGCCGGCCGGAGCTGGAGAGCCGCTAGCAGCCCATGGGCCCGGCTCCCGCGAACGGCGCCCGGCCTGCGCTTGCGGCGCTCGTGGTGGGCGCCTTCTCTTTCCCAGCTCAGCACAAGTTTTATTTCTAAGCGGCGGGAGAGAGTAGGTCGAGCCAATGGGGAAAGGGAGAGAGATCCTTCAGGAAGGGAGAACAAAAACCATCGGCGGCCTGATGACTTGGAAGGATGACGGAAATTTTTAAAAATATATCTATGTCTTGACTCTTGAGCCCGAGCGAAAGCAAGAGGTCTTACCGTGTGCGGGGCCCGCCCCCACCCCGGGAGGCAGCCGAAGGGCGCTGACGCGGGCCTGGGGTCTCGTGCCTGTCTTCTTACATCCCCGAAGCGAATACCGACTCTCCCGCTTCCCCCAGACGCGGCGGTGCCGGCCGGGCCCGGGCTGGGGCCAGCGTGCGGACTCTACCGCCTCTCGGAGCGCCGCCGGACTTCCAAAGTTGCGTGCCCAGCTGGGGCTGGGTCGCAGCGCGCGGAGCTCTGGGGCGGCGACGGCGGCGGGGAGAGCGCTGTGCGGGCCGCATGAAGACGCCCCCGTCCTCAGGTGGGCCGGGGCAGGTGGGCGACCGGCCCGCCGGGAGCCGTGGCCGAGGCAGAGGGTCTTCTGGGCGTTGGCCCGGCGAGCTGCGGGCGCTGGCCGCAGCCCAGCCGGACGGGCCGGGGTCCGAGGGCACCGTGAGTTGGGGCAGGAACGCGGGGCTAGGGGGAGAAGCTGCTGGGGGTGGCCGGGCGGCAACGCTCCGGCTGCTGGGCGTCTGCACCGAAGCCAGAGCCTCTGCTGCTCCGCCGCGCTCACCGTGGACTGGTTTTATAGCCCCAGGATCAAGCCAGCGTTGCCGAGCAGCCGGCGTCAGCCCCCACGTGGGAAACCGACCCTCCCCCGCCCCTTGCGCCTCCCCTCCGCGGGTCTAGCGCCCGCGCCCCGCGCGGGACCTTGAGGAGCGCTTGCCCCCCTGGCGGGACGGGCGCTTTGGAGAGGCGGGTACCGTGAGCGAGGGGTTTAAAGAGCGTGCCCCGGGAGTGGAAGCGGCCCCTGCTGGGAATTGGCCGCGCAGCTCCGGGCCCGCGGAACAGAAAGCAGCGGGAACCCGGGAGTGCTCCCCATCCAGCTGGGTCCTGGGAGGAAAGAGAGTTGGGGACCCGGGCCCGAATCGGGAGAAGCCGCCACGGGTACAAGTAGCATCCGTAGCACGCTGGTCCTGGGCCAGGCCACCCTCGACCGCAAGTGCTCCTGGCGGCGAGGCGAGTGGGGTTCTGGTGAGAAAGGCAGGCACAGGTTCGGATCGAACCCCAGCTGCGGAATGGGAAGCACCCCCGGGAAGCGGGACCCGCCCGAGTCCGGAGCTCCGCTTGGGGAAGAGGAGGCCACCTGTGGTTCTAGCCGCAGAGTAGTCTGCGGGACACCCGGCCGTCGCGGGTCTGGACCGCACCTCCTTAGAACGCGGTGAGGAGGGGTCTTGGCGGCGGAGGCCGCGCGCCACGACTGAGCGAGGGCGCACTGACACCTGCTGGCAACTCGTCGTCACCGCTGCCATGCCGGGCGCTTTCTTTCGCCTCTGCAGTCTTTGCCTACAGCGCCTTCTCCTATTTCAGGATAAGTTTGGGTCCGAGCTCGGGAAAGGAGAACCCAGATTTTAAAGTGCACTTTGCCACGTTGAAGAAATCTTCCTAAAGCATGTACTTGTGTGTCGGGAGTGGGAGTTCACCTGGTAAAGTCACGCCGGGAAGGGCTTAGCAGGCTCAGAGGCCAGGACTGGCATTCCATGCTGGACTGACACAGCCCACTGTTCCCGCAAATATGAGAGGCCTGGACCCTGCCCTAATGATTGACCAGTTCTGGCCTGCTGTGAACGAGTTTGTCTTTCTAGAGGCAGGAAAGCTATACTCCACCCCATCTCGCCCCCATTTCAGATGCAGACACATCATCTTTCTGTTAAGGAGGGGAGTGCTGGCCAAAAGAAGAGAATATTTTCCACGTTGTTTCTGATAGGAATAGCATGGAGTGAGGTGAATGGCTAGTTTTTCTCAGCATGCTGGATGTCCTACAATAGATCTTAACAATTGCTAGAGTATCAGCTTGTATTGTGCTGTCTGCACTTTTCTAATAGGCAGGCAGTTTAAGGGTAAGCCCAGGGCGATAGGAGCTGTTAACAGGAGAGATTAACAGAAAAGTTAAAGAAAAGTTGCCTTTATTTAAGGACCCGATAAAGCAGAATATGTAGTCACCAAAGTTGGAAGTTCCAGATCAAACAGATCACCTCTCTGCCTGGCAGGGTGCAGGTCTGGCTGGGGGCTAAGGACAAATTAAGGACCTTGAGCGTGGAGTTCAGCCCCAACCGTCGTTGAGAGCCTGCACCAGTGATAGTTATTGAAGCTCTTGCCATACATTGTCATGAAGTCTTTATTTTTTGAAAGTACTTCACAGATGTCTCATTTGACTTCAGTACCTTTATCTCCCAATCTCTGATCCAGTTGGGTGAACTTCTCCACCAGTCTTAATTCTCAGGAGCCAAAAATGCCCTCTTCTGTGGGCTGAAAAGACAGAATTTCCTCCCTCTGTTGAGTCCCTCACTTCCCATCTACTCAAATCTCGGCTCTGAGTCTCATGGCGAGGCAGAAGCATTGCAGTAAGCTCGGCTGGAAATGTGATTATACTCATTTTTGCACAGCGACCAGGAGCCCCTGACTTCAAGTATGAATGATAAGAAAGACAAAAGCAAAGCCTAAGGCAGTCTGGGGCTCACGGTGTTGTTCACACTCGGGGAGTGAGTTATCGGACAGCCATCACTGTCCATGTCCGCACCAGCTGCTAATATGATGCTCTCCCTGTCTCATTTCAGAAGCAAAAAGGAAAATGAAAACAGAGGCCACAGTGCTTTCCTTTCTAGATCTCTGCTGCCAGCCTGTGTACGACACCTCTTGTCGCATTTTCTAAATGCTTCCCAAATAGCCAGTGAGTTCCGCAATTCCTAGGTTTAGAGTCTTCTACTAGAATGAAAACAGGTGTTTCAAGGAACTAAGGTCTCTGAGACCAATAAACAACAAGGGCTGTCTTTTGTTAAGTACCTAGTATGATCATAGGCAGGGCTGTGTACAGGGCCCTCATGTGCCAAGTTCTTCCTCTTATACATGCACCTTATCACCTCCTTAGTTGGACACACGGTGTCTGTCTATCTGAGCTTTGAAAAGCCACATGGACACCATTATTTTTTGCTAGAATTTTTAGTGCTGTGCTAGCTGAATGAGACAGCATTAAGCAGAGAGACATCCACAAAGATAATAGTTCTTAACCAGGCCTGTATATCAGCATTGCCCGGGAATGTAAAATACATTTATCAATGCTCCACCAGGGAAGTTATGATTCATCAGGGCTGTGGTGGGATGCAGCATGTGTATTTTAACAAAGTTCCTCGGCAGATGCTAACACACACACACTCAAGACTCACTACTCTAAGCAGTAAATCCCAGCGGGGGGCAGGAAGAGAGTGTCCAAATGACCTGAGGACTTTGATGAGGCCAACCTAAGCTACAAAGAAGTGCCCCAGATTAAAAATCACTGCCCTGGTGGGACAGCCAGGAGGGTGACACAGTCCTCAGGGATCTGAGGCAGAATGGTTGAGAGCCACTGTAATATGGAGGTTGACTTTTCGTGGCCAAGGAGTCACCTGTGGGGGTCCATTGCAATTGCTACTATTAATAAAAATAAATACTTTTCATTAGCACTAACCCCCTGCCTGGCACAATGCTGAGCAGTTTATGTACTACATATTTTTTATATAATTCCAAAAACAACTCTGCAATGTAGACATTACCCAACTTTACAGATGGAGAAAACAAGGCTGAAAGAGGTTAAGTAGATTGCCCAGGGTAAGGGTCAGATCTGGACTTGGAGTTTCCTGACTATAAGCCCAGTGAGCTTTCTAACTATCTTTCTGAGGGTGTCCATCCTCTACCACACTGACAAAGAGAAACCTCCAAGAGGCTCATCAGAAATGAAAGCGTTGGCGAGCTGTCAGATCCTCCCTATACCCCTGTCCTCCTAGTCCGCTTGTCGCTGCGAGGGCAGGACAGTAGAGGGCCAGACGCATCCCTTCATTCCACACCTGACGCTACTGCATTGGAGAAAGCGTTAGGCACACTCTACACAATACTGAACATTTCCCCATGACTGATGGAGGGCCAACGTGGCATTACCTGATGGTGCCAGCCTGAAGTTGTGTCCTCTCCTTGGTGGAGGTCACCACTCTGTCTCATGGGCGCCTATGCATATTTCTTCCATGGCTTGGGTGAACTTTTATTGCACTAGCTCACCTGTTCACTTGAATGATGGCATAGTAAGGGGGAAGGACTGTTCTGTTCACCTTTGCATTCCTAGAACATAAAACAGCCTTTCCAAAACTCAGGTTTCTGGGACCTACCCCTTGGAGATTCAACAGGACTACAGTAGGACTTGTGTTTTTAATGAATACCTGGGGAATCCAGTAATACCAAAATGTAAGACACACAGGCATAGATATTTGATAAATGTTTCTGTGATGACTGAATGAAAGAATTAGTGAATGAATGGGTATTACTTTCGATTATACTATCCAAGACATAAAAGGCCCAGAAGAAGGGGCCTAAGGTGGCTAGCATTTCTTCCCAAAATCAGGATTTAGTTGAGGTATCCTAACTAGTTCAGGGATAGGATTCAGTATAGGGGTGGTTCATTTTAGGATTCTCTCATATTCTGTCTCTCTCTCTCTTATTACCTCTCTATAGATTTTTTTCTCCTAAAAACAAAAAAATGGAAACAGTGAGAGATGTTCTATTTATAACT